AGCTGATCAGGAGGAAATGGGGATTTTGCAGTAACCTTCCCCTGGAATGGGGTGGGAGTGGAGTTTTTACAGTATTCTTCCCCTGCCATGTCCACCAAGCCATGCCCACCAAGCCATACCTACATAACCAGTAGTAAAAAAAAATGAATCCCACTATTGGCACAAATTGGGACTATCCATGTTTTGGATGGAACCAATGCTTCTAGAATCTTGCTTGATAAATATGGTAAACCATTCACAGTAGCTTACAATCATGGCTTCATCCCAGATTACACATATACCAGGGGTGGGTTTCAACCGGTTCGCGGCGGTCCCTGCGAACCGGTTGGTCGGCGAACCCGGAAGTAAGTAACTTCTGGGAACGGCGAAGGGCGCGCCCGCCCGCCTGCGGTCCTTACCCGGTTTTGACGAGTTCTGCGCTTCCACGCATGCGCAGGACGCATAGCCTGCGCGATCCTTCAGGAGCAGCTGGAGCGTCATGCAGACGCTAGTACGCATGCGTGCACCGCGCGCATTTACGAGGACGCCGCCGGCCCCGTTCCAACCGAACCGGTTGGAACGGGGCGAGAAACCCACCCCTGACTCATTTCCTTTGTTCATGTCCACGTATTTACTTATACCTGTTATCTTGTACATGTTTGACAAACCAAACAAAAGAATAAATAAATAAAATACCCGGAGGGAAAAAAGTGTCCCTACAATCAAGTCTCTTTGCATGACCTGTTAAGAGGGGACTGTATAATTTCGTACATGTCTCTCTTTAACTGTATGAGTGTTTTCCAGGTCACCTTCTTTTTTCCGCTTTGGATCTTTGTATTGTAAACCAAATAAACATTTTTTAAACAGGCTGAAAAACTTGTCAACATCACACCCCAACCTTTGGGATATGGCCACATATAAATCTGAAAGAAAAATAGCAATAAGGACAGAACTAAGTGGCTTCTGTTCTTGTGCCACTTATGAACCAGGTGGCTCCTCACCCTGAAATTGTGGAAGCTCCTACCTGTGATGAAATAACTAAGTTCAGCATTAAGGCCCATATCGGTGTCAGTACAATTCAGACGAACCACTTTGAAATCACGTGGTACATTTTCCAGAAGTGACACATTGTAGACAGCTGGGAAGAAGGTAGGGTTTTCATCATTCACATCTAAAACTATAAGAGAGAATTTGATCAAACTTCATTCTGGGGCACAATAGAAGCATTCTCTGAACTTTCTTCAAGAACCTACAACCAACCATACAGTAATTATTGCCAGTTACATTATTAGGTAGGTATGTCTTTATTATTTATTCACAGTAAAAAACCAGGAAATTGGCTACAATAATGTATAAAAATAAGCTAAATTAAAAGAAGAACAGATATGTAGGCTTATTATAACTCCCAAAATTCCCCAGGTAGCACACATCTTAAAGTTGCTAGGTTTTGAAAAACGCTCAACTAGAGTTGAAAGTGGAAAGAGAGGGAACGGACTGACATAGATTGCAACCTTTTAGGCCATTAAACTGTTTGGCTGCACTAGAATTTCTGGAGTGTGAAAATTTGAGCTGGAGAGAAAGAAGTAAGCTGGAAAATACAGTATAGTGATAACACAGGAAAACATAATAAACATATTTATGTTTATATTCGTAATATTAACTTGGGTGGAAAATAATATAATGTATAAGATTATGACACACACACACACACACACACACACACACACACACACACACACACAATATCTGGAATAATATATATATTATTCCAGATATTGGAGACAGTTTGGTGTAATGGTTTTGATGCTGGACTAAAAAATAGGAGACTAAGTCCATCCTTAAGCATAGAAGTTGGCTGGGTAAGTTTGGGGCAGTTACTCTCTCTCAGCCCAACCCATAATTTAAGCTTATTATCCTGGGGAAAATAGAAGGAGGAAACATTATGAATACCCCCTTGAGTTGCAAAAAATAAAGGCAAGGTAGAAATTTAATGCGTAAATACAAAGAATGCCTTCCTTTCTGGAATGGTTCCTGCCAAAATTTATATTGGCGTTTCTCAACCTAAGCAATTTTAAGATATGTGGACTTCAGCTCCCAGGATTCCCCAACCACCATGAAGTCCATATATCTTAAAGTTCCCACATTTGTGAAACACTGAATTGTATGATTTTGTTATTCATATTCAGGTAACTCAGAATACATGGAAAATTTTGTTTCTTCAACTCTGGCCTTATTTGAGCCAACTTAGTAGACACCAACCCACAGATTCATTCATTCATTCATTCATTCATTCATTCATTCATTCATTCATTCATTCATTCATTCATTCATTCATTAGACTTATATACCGCTTCATAGGGCTTTCAGCCCTCTTTAAGCGGTTTACAAATTTTTTTAGCAAATTGAGTCAGCAACTTGCCCCCACAGTCTGGGTCCTCATTTCATCCACCTCGGAAGGATGGAAGGCTGAGTCGACCTTGAGCCGGTGAGATTTGAACCACTGAACTGCAGATCACAGTCAGCTAAAGTGGCCTGCAGTACTGCACCCTAACCACTGCGCCACCTCGGCACCAGATGATGCTCTACTGACCCAACTAATGCACAGAACATGATTTAGAACAAGAAATCCCTGTGCAAGCTTTGGGGAACCACCATCCCCACTCACACATGCATATTTAAAATATGATATAGTTGTGATATTGAGCCAGTCTTCAAAGGCTTTCAGTCCATCAATCACCTCTGACTGTGAGGGTGCTGGTAGAACTTTTGGATGGTTCCCCTGCATCGCTTGCTACAACCCTCAAGTAGTATTCAGCAATTCTTTCCCTGTCTAGAATAGTGGTGGAGTTGATAAGACCGGTCTTGCTGTTGATGACAAAGTCCATCCTGGGCATGCCCACCTGCATGCGATATGTCACTTGGCCATTCAAGTCCTTGTCCAGGTCTATGGCCACCACCTAGGACAGAAAGCACAAGACTTTGAGGAACTCATCCTGATGAGAGAGAAAAGCAGTTTTTTTTTAAAAAAATTCTCGGCAGAGTTAGCAATTTATTTTCCTGAGACACAGGTAGCAGTTATCAATATTTTCCTTTAGGGAGTCACTACACCAGTGTTGAATATTCTTTTGTGGAGCATTCATGGAAGCCAACTCTTTCAAATACAGTGCTACCTTGGAACTCATTGGTTCCAGGAGATATGACTGGTACTAAAAGTGACAAGTACCAATCAAACCATGTGACTTACCATGTGACCCTTTGGTTAGGCTGGGGAGAACTTTCTGCTTGTCCCTTTTACTATGTTAGTGACCTTTCCAGCATGGCCAACTTCCTGTTCGCCCTCTGAGACCATCCCCCACTTCCTTTTGCGGCAATCTTTCCAGCATGACTGACTTCCTATCCATTTTCAGTGGTCATCCCCCTCTTCCTATCACAGCACATCAAGAACCAAACAAATGACGAGTACTGGGTCAACATTTTCGCATCAAAATGAGTCTAGTACCAAATTTGATGAGTTTTGAAGCAGTTGAGTACTAAGGTATCACTGTATGCTTAATGTAATCTTGGCAAACAAGAGTGAACCTTATTTATCACTAGATATAAAATTCACTGCTAATTTTAATAATTTGTCAGGCTAATTCACCGTGTATTTGCTTCCATTAAGCGTAATAGTGATACTATTAAATTATTTTTATCTTTTTCCCATTCACTGCTATCATAGTCGAATTTTGCATTACAAATCTTAATACAATAGTGTTCAAATAGCAGGTTGGGGTGCCTCCTGAGTGGCCTTTAGAGATTACTACTGACATTTAAATCTCTTGCTTATTTTAAAATATAGGAAATAAATTTGAGTAGAAAGTTAGATGGTAATAAAAGGCAAAATTAAGATTTGTAATTCAACTATGATAGGAAAGGAGATATTATCCAAAGTGAGGACATGACAAAACAAACATGAAATGCTGCCAGTGCTGGCTCCTGACATTTAATCAGATTTTCTTGAATGAAATTGAGACAGATTTTCTTAATCTATACTCCCTCTGGAGCCGGGACCTTTTGGTGCAATGTGGATGAACAAGGGCTCAGCCTGCTCTCCAAGGATTTCTCAACCTTGGCAACTTTAAGGTGTGCAAATGTAAACTCCCAGCATGCTGACAGGGAATTCTGGGAGTTGCAGTCCACACATCTTACAATTGTTGAGGTTGAGAAACACTGGGCTGTCCAACTTCTGTTTCATCATTATGTCTCACCATAAAAAATGGGAAGATGATATCAAAAGAAACAGCATTTGATCACTTAATTTTGAAAGGGAAGGGACGCCTTTTGTAGAAAAGTGTACTGTACAGGTAATCCTTGACTTACAACTATTTGTTTAATGACCATTTGAAGTTACACTGAAAAAAGTGACTTGTGATTGTAGCAGTCAGGCAGTCATGTGATAAAAATTCAAGCTCTCAACAACCAGTATGGATATATGACAGTTGTAGAATAGAATAGAATAGTTGGGAGGGACCTTGGAGGTCTTCTAGTACAACCCCCTGCTTAGGCAGGAAACCCTACACCACTTTAGACAAATGGATGTCCAACATCTTCTTAAAAACTTCCAGTGTTGGAGCATTCACAACTTCTGGAGGTAAATTGTTCCATTGATTCATTGTTCTAACTGTCAAGAAATTTCTCCTTAGTTCTAGGTTGCTTCTCTTCTTGATTAGTTTCCACCCATTCCTTCTTGTTCTACCCTCAGGTGCCTTGGAAAATAGTTTGACTCCCTCTTCTTTGTNATTACTTCTAATTCCTCTTAATCTAAGAGACATCATTAGACCAGAATTGATACTGTACAATACAGTAACCACTTCTTTTGAGATCTTATAAACTAATCTTTGTGTCTTCAAGACATGGTTTCTGGCAACTTGTTCGCCTTTTTTCCCCAACTGCTTCTGATTTTTGGAATGCAAGATCTCTATTTGACCATGATTTTGGTTACATTGTAGTATCTTGCTTGATGGAAAACATTTACATTTTGTGCAGGACACTTTTTAAGCCACTGAATGTCCTTGCCCACATGTTCGTTGTATAACAATCTGATGCTCAGAATGGTAAACATTGTTGCAGGAATTTTCCCCTGTAAAAATGACTGCATTCTGAACGGTGTATAATATTTCATAAATATGCGTTATCATGTATCATCTACGTATCACAGATATTAAAATAAATGCTTAATTCCTATGATTGCCATTTTTCTCCTAACTAATCTACATTCAAACAGTGCATGGCAGTAGTTCACTTATATTTCAGCCAACAATATGCTGAAGAATACAAGAATACATGAGTGACGGTGGCACAGTGGTTAGAGTGCAGTATTGCAGGCTACTTCTGCTGCCTGTTGCCTGCCTGCAGTTCATCAGTTCAAAACACACCAGGCTCAAGCTTGACTCAGCCTTCCATCCTTCCAAGGTGGGTAAAATGAGAACCCAGATTGTTGGGTGCAATACGCTGACTCCATAAACTGTTTAGAGAGGGCTATAAAGCACTGTGAAGCGGTATATAAGTTTAAGTGCTATTGCTAAGTTCATAAAACAGAAACTACACCTCGTAGAAGTCTACAAAGAGGTTCCTTTCCACAATAATAGATAAAAATCCATGGCTCATCCATGATAGCCTAAAGATCAGTAAAAGCCAATTTTCTCTTTCTGAAAACTTGAGGTGGGAAAACTATACTACCAGTTTGCAAATTAAAGTCCTTTAGACAAATTCCTTACCCCAAAAGCTGAAATATGAGTTCTTAAGAGAAGGATGAAGAATAGATTGTCAGGCCTGCAGCCATCTTCTGTTTTGGCCTGCTACACCTATTATTCTGCTATGAATTTTCTATTGTGGGAAAATGGGCGGGAGGATTGTAAGAAGTGAGATGCGATGTAGCCATAACAAAATTCTTTCTAGAAAACCAAGGTCATCCTTTGTCTTTGCATCTCTGCACCTGGATGGGTGGAACTGCCAGCATGGCAGTGGGAGATTGGACCATGCAATGGACTTGTGCGCGTGGGGGCAAGATATTGAACTTTCAACTAGGTGGGGAAAACTGGGAAGCTTTCAGATTTGGGTTTCCCCAGATGTGCCAATATAGCTCTCTTAATAAATTGGAACTTTGAGCAATATTTTGCCTTGGACTCTGATTTACTTTTGGATGCTATTTGGAACCCTGACATAGACATGCTTACCAATGGCTTCTAGGATAAGGCTGTAGAATGGCATGGTTTCTCTGTCCAGGTTGACAACCGTTCTAACTATACCATCTCTAAAGCCAACACTGAATTTTCCATCCTGGTTTCCACCTGCAAGGAAAAATAGAAGAAAAGAATGACATGATTTGTATCTATATATAGTAGTGGCCAAAATTGTGGAAACCTTTTGGGAAAAGTGTACAGTATTTTTGAGGTTTGACGGCTAATATAACACCACTTTTTTGGGAGTACTACCATAATATTATATATCAATGGAAAGATAATTTAATCAAGAATGTAATGCAATATCTTTTATGAAGGATTTGCTATTAGTATAGCAGTTATAAAGAAGAAAAGTGAAATACATAGAAAAAACAAGTTATACAAAAAAAATATTTGACAAAAGTCCTCCTCTCAGCTTCAATACATAACATCAATAACTGAATCCTACTGTGATCTGATTGCCTCATTGCCAATACAAGATGACACCTTATTGGCTATCTAAACATTCATGCTCGTTGGCTACAATCAGACGAAGGAAAACTAAGATCAACCTAAGCAAGTTGTGCTTCCTTTTTATGGTTATTTGGTTATAACTTTTCATAGAATACAGATAATTGAACAAACATTGTTGCATTACATTCCTGATTAAATTATCTTTCCATTGATATATAATTTTAAGGTACTACCCCAAAGAAAAAGTGGTGTTATTAGCCATCAAACTTCAAAAATGCACTTCTCCCAAAAGATTTCCACAATTTTGGGCACTATTCTAAACATGCATTTGGATAAACATCCATATGCATTTTCTTTGGAATTATGACCTATAGAACTAAGAAATTGAGATATTGACATTCAACAGTGTTTCTCCATGCATATGCTTACAATGGTAGGATTGACACTGTCACTGCATATAAATGGGGCTGAAAATTATCCAGGATTCAGGCCCTCAACCAACTTCATGTGAGTTGGCTTCCGTTTTCAAATTTTCAGCCTTCTGCCTTCTGCCTTTCTGCCCTACAGCCTGTCCTTTGCAACAAGAAATTGGTCTGAAGCATTCTGCAATATCTACCCTTGTGAATAAAATTATGAAATATTTGCCTAAGAAATACAAAGTCATTTAATGGTGAATTATGTGGGGGGGAAATGAACCCCCAAACCATTTTCAAGCTAATACTAATAGGCACATGATACGGAAAGAAAATTCCGCCTGTAAGCTAACTTCTATGGCCTAAATTAGGAGGAATCTCATTTTAAATAATGCATCTCAAAATGAATTGTTTTAGTTAGACACAAGTGAAACTACAGATTTATTGTATTAAACAAATTTAAATTGTCACGGGTCAGGAATTGTCATGGAAATTACATTCTATTGAAATCAAATCATAGGCCCATTTAATCCACCAGTACGGATATTAATTCTAATTCACAGGAGGAATTTCTGAAGCCTTCCTGGAAAAGCTATAGACCGAATCTGGGAATTGCAGATGCTCTATCTCATGCCTTTTCCCCTTTTCATCCAAGTTAACCCTTTTGATTCCTGAATTTATAAAATAGTGAAGAGTGTGACAAAAATTCAAGGTGTCATTTGGAGGTCTGGGCAGTAGGGGGCAAAACCAGACAACATTTCAAGACTTTGAAAATGCTGCGTTTATCATTTCAGACTTCTATTATAAATCCCACCGACCAGGCAAGCAGAGATAGTCTACCTTACAGTGAGAACCAAATAAAGAACATTT